TCGTCAGTCCACGCATTTCGTCGGTCCGAGCATCGTCTAATACTTTTTGTATAAACGACGCCTAATAGCAGCGAGTGAATGAATAAATACATTGTATAAAAAGGTCGCACTTGTAACATATTAGTACAATAACAATGCCGTCACGCCATTTACAGAAATTGTGCTTTACAGTCGACCACGAGCGAAACAAACACAGAAAACGGCTTTCAAAAGAGTGCGTAGGCCCAGTGAACGTCGAACAACGGGATTCAGCAAGTCCTTTCAAATCAGATAATAGCGTAATGCATGACGTTAGCTTACGGAATTAACGCCTTCAGTTGAAATGATAACAGCTGTGTACCAAGTAAACAACTGGGCGGACCATGCAAATTACATTTCCCATGATGCACTGGTGCAATTCCTGGGATTGCGGAGCCGCGCTTTAAGTCATACATCATCTCCCAGTCCAGTATATCATGCATTATTGCACAATATTTATGGTCTGGATACGGCTTTTGTGGCCAAAGGTCGTGCAGCAGAAATGTCAGTTGCATCCTCCTTTTCTAACACACAGTATGTTGTGGTGTGGCATTTAGTTACAGACAAAAAACTTACAAATAGTATTTTTCTTTCTCAGCATATTCCAGAAATACTTAACTGTAACGTGTTGTCATGCACAATGGTAAGAAGTACATGCATTAAATTCATATATTTTTGTATCGGTGTATATTTCATCTAATCAAACACACTTTTCATTGTTGTAAAATTAATCAAGCACTTTCTAAATTTGATTTTGAGATTCAGGATACGATTTCACTTGAACTGTACAAAATCCAAAGCCTTTATGATTCTTTCAGTAAGCTAGCATTAATAAATATTAAGGTACAAGTTTGTGATTGATGGCAAACAAATGTTTATCTTTTCTTGAATCGCTAAGAAATCATAATTATTTTGTCTACTTTATAGTCATGTTTTGGTTGTGGGTATGTATAAATTGATTGTTTTTTGCTTATATTGGAAATATTCTGTACCTGTTATCTGTATAAAGCACTCTGCTTTTTATTTCAGATGACAAAACTAGTATTACCACAGATGGTAAAAAGGTACGTACACAGAATACATGCACTTTACTATATAAAATTAAACTTCTAAAACATGTAAACTCTGACCAATATCTGGGATCATGACTATGGATTCTTGGTGTGGATAGATGACTGGTGCAGCTCATTTTAGATGTCAATGAAAGTAAATAGTGGACAGGGACTATGTCATCACTGACAATGACATGCTTTCATTTGAACTACAGAAGTAAAGGTGCTGTTATAAACATAGCGTCAGTAGCGGGATATCAGCCGAATCCATTCAGTGTCGTATACTCATCAACAAAGGTATGTTCTGGCCACTAATATAAAGGGATGTAACAGTCAGTTTTATGATCTGCTCCATGTGGCATGTATTCGTCCCAACTAGTATTTTGAACATGCCCAAACCTATCAAATTCAAAATTCACACGTGTCTCATACATATTGAGATATACACTTCCATTTGTTTCATGTTCCGATTCATTTCATTTTAATTACTGCATTTCCAGAGCCATATTTCTGACTGGCCGTAGCCAATCACAATTATAGAACAGTATAACATGAATTGTATAAAAGTTATTAGTACAGCAGTATACCTAAGTAAAATTTAGAGGGGAAAATACTGGCTCTCGCTTTGATGAGAAAAGTAATTTGAGGCTGGGAAGAATGCTTGATATTACGAAAGTAACATATCTAATAACATATCTTTAATAGTGAGAATATTATTGATATCTGGTTCTCATAATCAGCATTATTAATTTGGTGCACTTATTTCTATGTTTAAAAAATGTTTTTATTGTAGCCTAATTAAAAATTAAAAATTGAATTTAGTTGACATTTATTATGATTGATTAAATTGCAAAATTTGAAGATGATCATAAACAAATTGCTTGAAGAAGATAATTTGAAAAAAAAAGATTTTACAACACAGACAAAAATTGAACTGGTTGAATAACAACTATTTGAGTTATTTTCTGTTTGTGCATGCAAACAAAAAAAGTGACCCATTAAAAGTTTCATTAAAACATTAGAACATGTAAACCTTGTGCTCAGCTATTTAAATGAACTCTCTCTTCATAGGCCTATGTTGATTTCTTTTCACGAGGATTACATGAGGAGTATTCATCAAAGGGAATATTTGTGCAGGTTGGTATCAATGTCGATTGTATCTTTACTTTGTATATAACACTGTGAATGCGTATGAATTTGAGAGTTGTTTATGTATTATTAGTGTTACCATACTTTTAAATATTTAGGCTGGAATTAATTTTGTTGAAAAAAAGTTTTTTTGATGTTCAATGTTTAATATAGGACAAAAAAGCATATTTTATTTTCACTGGATCAACCCTTCAGCAAAATAAAATAAATAAATTCTGAGCAAAATTAAGTCTTTTTAACCTGACAAAACTTTTTAATGATACTGTTATTACATTAATGTTTATCTTGCATTCATATTGCAAATATTTTCCAAATAACTAATCAAATCCCAGCTAAATAACTAATCAAACCTTTGCCAAATAACTGATCAAATCTTAGCCAAATAACTAATCAAACCTTTACCAAATAACTAATCAAATCTCTTCAAAATAACTAATCAAATATTAGCCAAATATCTAATCAAATCTTAGCCAGATAAGTAATCAAATCTTAGCCAAATAACTAATCAAAACTTGGCCAAATAACTAATCAAATCTTAGCCAAATAACTAATCAAATCCCAGTTAAATAACCAATCAAACCTTTACCAAATAACTAATCAAATCTCTTCAAAATAACTAATCAAATATTAGCCAAATATCTAATCAAATCTTAGCCAGATAAGTAATCAAATCTTAGCCAAATAACTAATCAAAACTTGGCCAAATAACTAATCAAATCTTAGCCAAATAACTAATCAAATCCCAGTTAAATAACCAATCAAACCTTTACCAAACAACTAATCAAACCTGTCAAACAACTAATTAAACCTTTTGCCAAATAACTAATCAAATCTTAGCCAAATAACTAACCAAACCTTTGTCAAATAACTAATCAAATTCCAGCTAAATAACTAATCAAACCTTTACCAAACAACTAATTAAACCTTTTGCCAAATAACTAATCAAATCCAAGCTGAATAACTAATCAAATCTTTTCCAAGTAACTAATCAAATCTTTTCCAAATAACTAATCAAATCTCAGCTAAATAACTAATCAAATCTTTGCCAAATACCTAATCAAATCTTAGGCAGATAAGTAATCAAATCTTAGCCAAATAACTAATCAAATATTTACCAAATAACTAATTGAACCTCCCCCAAATTAAAATGGCCATTAGGAGATTTGAAGGTGGATCCAACTACAACTCTGTTTCTGCAATGGAAAGCAAAAACTGGATGGATGAATCAATAAATAAATAAATACATAACAAGGGATAAGAAACGTGACAAAATACGGTGGAATAATAAACAAAGTTATGTTGTGATTATGGGAAACCAAAGCATGACTAACCTGCTTGCATTGAATAAGCATTATGATACCAGAAGGCTTCTTATAAATGTGCAAATAGTTAAGGACCCCCTAGCATTGTTCTGTATCATACATGATCATTACATGTAACAAATTATAATTGTCATTTCAGTCTGTGTTGACATTCTTTGTCGCAACAAAATTAAGTGGAATTGATAAAAGTGAGACCAGTTTTTTTGTTCCACTACCAGAAGACTTTACTAAAAGTGCCCTTGGTACTGTCGGGCTGCAGAGCCGAACACATGGTTATTTCTCACATGCATTACAGGTATGGAATCTACTGCTTTTAATATGAATGAGAACATTTTTGTGAATCATGGAAAAACCACATTGTTTTTTTAAGTACATGTAGTTCATTTGACAAAGGTCTTTCAGAAAAGCCTGATTACCTTGTGTGGGTCTTCTCCACAGTAGCTTTGTAAGGTCGCCTCAGCCTGCATGGACATTGATTTTATGAACAATTGATGATAGTTTTATGTTTGCGCTGTATCAACTGATAGTTGCCATAGAAACAATGCTGTGGGACTGCTCCATTCTTGTGACATTCCTATAAATTTACACATTAGACGAGCAAAATCAAGGCAACATTTCTTGATTTGTGGAGAGGACCCAGAAAACAAATACCAGGCTACATCTAAGACGAGGATTTGTACATTTGTTTGCTCCTAATACATAAAATCAAAAAAATTGGAGCATTAGAAATTAATAGCTACGTTTCATCTACTTGTAATAAACATGACAAATGTTCATTCTAACTGACTGTGATACTTGTTTATTTAGGTGTGGCTAGTGAATCTCTTGCCACGATGGTACATTACACACCTCACAGAGAAGATGTTCATGGACATGAAAAATAAAGCATTGAAGGAAATAGCCCAGAAAAAAGAATGAAATATTCTTGCTACTTAATGTCAAAATGTAGTAGTAAATAAACTCTTTTGAAAATGTGTTACCAAGGCAACCTTGATTGCATGGATTCATTTATCATTGTGTCTGTGAATGTTTTCATTGTGACAATGTATTTTCCATGACACAATGCTGGAAGAGGATTCTATGCTACATTGTGTGCCAGTCATATGGAACATGGTGCAGACTTCAATAGTATTTACAATGTGTCTCAAGCCTGGGGTGGTATCACTGAGAGTTGATATTTAGACTAGTTTGCAAGCAGTTTGTAAAAAAAAAAGTGGAATTTTGATGCATGTATATTCTTCCATACATTGTAGTTCATAATTCCAGTCCTGAAAAAAACATGTACATGTAATTTTATAGTGAATCGTAATGTCTGATAATGTAAAGCATTGATGTCAAATATGGGCAATGGTATTTATCAAAACCTGTCTGAACTGAACATCTGAAGGACTAAGAATGGTTTAAGGTATAGATATTTGTACTATTGGGAATGGAAAGGAAAGTTTCCAGACGGGAGTATATTGTACGTTATTGAATACAACAAAACTCATAATTCTTGACTAAGTATTTTTATTACATAGATTTCTTTCAACAAGTTCCATGCTTGGCTATTACTGTACCAAGTATAAAATACTGTATAGTAACTATCCAAATGACATTTCTGGCTGAAAATGGCCAATGTTTGGCCTTGGCAATAATAAATAAGAGTGTACATATGAAATAAATAAATATTTTTGTGAAAGGCATTTTAAGTTCGGCAATGTGAGCTCTCTTGAAAAAAAAGGGAAAATTTTGTATTCTATATTTTTTCTTTCTAGTCTACATTAAAACTTTAGTACCATATAATTATGATTGATATCTAAAATTACACTGTTGTGTACTCTACTAGGTAGATAAGAATGTGTCCTACATACATGTAACCTTGACCTAACACTGTACAATAATTATCATAGTCCTAGACCATATTAAATCAGAATATGCACCTTTTAAGAAGTGCCAACCAATGAATGATTGAAGATCGTCAGGGCGATGGACTGGGTTACAGGAATCATGTGAGGTGGCTTTTCCTATCTTAAGTAGAGAAGCGTACAAGAACTGCAAGGGAACTTAAATCGCTAAAAGTTGTTGCGCCACATTTAGGATCAATGGTGACCAATGCAACATTTCCCACAAACACAACCCCCCTCCAACAAGCTGCGTATTAATTTTGATAAGTAAAATTAAATGGTTTGACAGTACTAAGATCCAATTTACATCTCTAAAACGAGGGTCCCAGCAATATGGCAATGGACAAAACAAAATGGAGGGATTGTGAAATGCCACAAAGGATGCACTTACATTTGCTGACTATAATCTGATGAAGATATTTAGTGAGACAATATGGCCCAATAAATGAACCTTAGCTGGTGAAGATAGTGTAATTGCATCTCATAGGTAATGGGTATTCGTATTATTATTGCACCTCATAGGTAATGATAAACCTGGTATCTCCGCACAATTTTTTTTTTTTTTTTTTTTTTGAATACTATTCAAACACACATAACATGATGTTTAATGTAGATATAATGACAGTTCTATATCTGCAGTGATATTTTGCACTAAATGTTACAACAGTTAAAGATATGCACCATAACTATGTGATAAAATATGAATTACATTTGAGTTAAAAAATTAAGTTTAATACTTCAGGCTAAAAATCACTATGATGGCAGTCATTTTGATTTGAAAAACACACTGGATGCCTCAGTAAATATAATCCTATTTTGGCAAATAAATATAATACAATAGGAGGACAAATTCAACTTTTTATGATAATATTACATAGATAAGACTACTATTGCACTTAATACACATGTCAAATGTGAAGTTTTTTTTCTAAGAAATCCATCCAGTCTTTATTTTTGTAGGGGTCACGCACGATTTCATAGATATACTCTCAATCATAAAGACATTGTGCTTACAGAAAATTCGAACGAGTGCTGCGCAACATTAAGGTTACATTAACATAGCTTGCTATGCGTAGATCACTATAACGACTCCAACCCCATACATCGCTATAACGATTCCAACCCCATACATCGCTATGACGAGTCCAACCCCATACATCGCTATGACGAGTCCAACCCCATACATCGATGAGTCTAACCCCATACATCGCTATAACGACTCCAACCCCATACATCGCTATAACGACTCCAACCCCATACATCGCTATGACGAGTCCAACCCCATAAATCGCTATGACGAGTCCAACCTCATACATCGATGAGTCTAACCCCATACATCCCTATGACAAGTCCAACCCCATACATCGCTATGACGAGTCCAACCCCATAAATCGCTATGACGAGTCCAACCCCATAAATCGCTATGACGAGTCCAACCCCATACATCGATGAGTCTAACCCCATACATCGCTATGATGAGTCCAATCCCATACATCGCTATGACGAATCCAACCCCATACATTGCCGAGTCCAACCCCATACATTTCCTGACGAGTCCAACCCCATACATCGCTATGACGAGTCCAACCCCATATATCGCAGAGTCCAACCCCATACATCGATGAGTCTAACCCCATACATCTTTATGACGAGTCCAACCCCATACATCGCTATGACGAGTCCAACCCCATACATCAATGAGTCCAACCCCATACATCGCTATGACGAGTCCAACCCCATACATCGATGAGTCTAACCCCATACATCGCTATGATGAGTCCAATCCCATACATCGCTATGACGAATCCAACCCCATACATCGCTATGACGAGTCCAACCCCATATATCGCTATGACGAGTCCAACCCCATATATCGCAGAGTCCAACCCCATACATCGATGAGTCTAACCCCATACATCTTTATGACGAGTCCAACCCCATACATCGCTATGACGAGTCCAACCCCATACATCAATGAGTCCAACCCCATACATCGCTAAGTCAACCCCATACATTCCCTGTGACGAGTCCAACCCCATACATTCCCTGTGACGAGTCCAACCCCATACATCACTGAGTCCAACCCCATACATCGCTGAGTCAACCCTATACATTCCCTGTGACGAGTCCAACCCCATACATTCCCTGTGACGAGTCCAACCCCATACATTCCCTGTGACGAGTCCAACCACATACATCATTATGATGAGTCCAACCCCATACATCGCTATGACGAGTCCAACCCCATACATCATTATGATGAGTCCAACCCCATATATTGGTATGATGAATCCAACCCCATACATCATTATGACGAGTCAAACCCCATACATTGCTATGACGAGTGCAACCCTATACATCGCTATGATGAGTCAAACCCCATACATCGCTATGATGAGTCAACCCCATACATCGGTATGATGAGTCAACCCATACATTGCTATGACGAGTGCAACCCCATACATCGCTATGATGAGTCAAACCCCATACATCGCTATGATGAGTCAAACCCCATACATCGCTATGATGAGTCAAACCCCGTACATCATTATGACGAGTCCAACCCCATACATCGGTATGATGAGTCAACCCCATACATTGCTATGACGAGTGCAACCCTATACATCGCTATGATGAGTCAAACCCCATACATCGCTATGATGAGTCAACCCCATACATCGGTATGATGAGTCAACCCATACATTGCTATGACGAGTGCAACCCCATACATCGCTATGATGAGTCAAACCCCATACATCGCTATGATGAGTCAAACCCCATACATCGCTATGATGAGTCAAACCCCATACATCGCTATGATGAGTCAAACCCCATACATCGCTATGACGAGTCCAATCCCATACATCGGTATGATGAGTCAACCCCATACATCGCTATGATAAGTCAAACCCCATACATCGCTATGATGAGTCAAACCCCATACATCGCTATGAGTCAAACCCCATACATCGCTATGACGAGTCCAATCCCATACATCGGTATGATGAGTCAACTCCATACATTGCTATAAGTCAAACCCCATACATCGCTATGATGAGTCAAACCCCATACATCATTATGACGAGTCCAACCCCATACATCGGTATGATGAGTCAACCCCATACATCGCTATGATAAGTCAAACCCCATACATCGCTATGATGAGTCAAACCCCATACATCATTATGACGAGTCCAACCCCATACATCGGTATGATGAGTCAACCCATACATTGCTATGACAAGTCCAACCCCATACATCGCTATGATGAGTCAAACCCCATACATCATTATGACAAGTCCAACCCCATACATCGGTATGAGTCCAACCCCACACATTGCTATGACAAGTCCAACCCCATACATCGGTATGATAAGTCAAACCCCATACATCATTATGACAAGTCCAACCCCATACATCGGTATGATGAGTCAACCCCATACATTGCTATGACAAGTCCAACCCTATACATCGCTATGATGAGTCAAACTCCATACATCGCTATGATGAGTCAACCCCATACATCGGTATGATGAGTCAACCCCATACATCGGTATGATGAGTCAACCCATACATTGCTATGACAAGTCCAACCCCATACATCGGTATGATGAGTCAAACCCCATACATCATTATGACGAGTCCAACCCCATACATCGGTATGATGAGTCAACCCATACATTGCTATGACAAGTCCAACCCCATACATCGGTATTATAAGTCAAACCCCATACATCATTATGACAAGTCCAACCCTATACATTGCTATGACAAGTCCAACCCCATACATCGGTATGATGAGTCAACCCCATACATTGCTATGACAAGTCCAACCCTATACATCGCTATGATGAGTCAAACTCCATACATCGCTATGATGAGTCAACCCCATACATCGGTATGATGAGTCAACCCCATACATTGGTATGATGAGTCAACCCATACATTGCTATGACAAGTCCAACCCCATACATCGGTATGATGAGTCAAACCCCATACATCATTATGACGAGTCCAACCCCATACATCGGTATGATGAGTCAACCCATACATTGCTATGACAAGTCCAACCCCATACATCGGTATGATAAGTCAAACCCCATACATCATTATGACAAGTCCAACCCTATACATCGCTATGATAAGTCAAACCCCATACATCGCTATGATGAGTCAAACCCCATACATCATTATGACGAGTCCAACCCCATACATCGGTATGATGAGTCAAACCCCATACATCATTATGACGAGTCCAACCCCATACATCGGTATGATGAGTCAACCCCATACATTGCTATGACAAGTCCAACCCCATACATCGGTATGATGAGTCAAACCCCATACATCATTATGACAAGTCCAACCTCATACATCGGTATGATGAGTCAAACCCCATACATCATTATGACAAGTCCAACCCCATACATCGATATGATGAATTCAACCGCATACATCGCTATGATGAGTCAAACCCCATACATCATTATGACGAGTCCAACCCCATACATTGGTATGATGAGTCAACCCCATACATTGCTATGACAAGTCCAACCCTATACATCGGTATGATGAGTCCAACCCCATACATCGGTATGACGAGTCCAACCCCATACATCGCTATGACGAGTCCAACCCCATACATCAATGAGTCCAACCCCATAGTTAGAACACAATTATCCCCACTATCCCTACACAGTATTATCTGTTCCTGGACTTATCCCGCTTAGATCTGGCAGTCTTGGTAGTTTTTCTCGCAGCTTAGCCTCACGCTGTTGTAATGTAAGTTGAGCCTTTCTTCTTATTGCACTGTTCAGTCGACTAGATCCCCACATCCAAAACCATTCCGGTAACATAGTGGACACCCACAACTGTAGAAAGAATTACATTAGATGTGGTAATCACAGTAACATACACAAGTGTTTGACAAGTTAAGTTTAAATGATCACTATCTCAAACACAGACAGTCATGTTATTTTAAACTTCAGGAGTTGATGAATTAGTAATTTTTCGATAAAAAAATGCTTCGAGAGCATACAAACATTTCCCTGTCTTACTGTATACTTTGTTCGTGACAAATTTTCCATGATGCAACAGTGGAAATGTACGAAAGACACAGATGTATTTGAGGTATGGTACTAAAATAACTGTAAACCTCTTAATTATTGCAGATAAAAATATTAGCGATTTGACGATTTTATATCATTAGGTATATCAAAAAGACCAAATTTAGAAGAATTTACTAACATTTTATGTCGTAGGAGCACAGAGAAATTGTCATTGCCAAAAAAAAAAAATTTCACGATTCATGAAAATAAAGTTATTCACAGTACTTTGTGTCCTAATTATCAAATCATTCAGACGTATAACCTTGGAGGGCAACTTTAACAGATTTCAGATTAACATAATCATTTTAAATAGCTTTGTCAACTTGCGTTTCTCAGGCTGACACAACTATATATATCATGGTGGGAAAAGATTCCTACAAATTGTATATTTTTTAAAACTGTCACTTTAATACAATATGTTTGATCTCGTATCCACAGAGGCTTCACTAAAGACTTGCAAATTATTGCTGCCAATAAATCAATAAAATCAGTAATTACATTTCTCATTACTGTTTTTGCTGCCCTAATTTTAATTGGCCCTTGATATCAGCCTATTTTTACCTGTAGCGTATGAGGCCAGTATCCTGTGGTCCTTGAGGTGACTCCTAGCGTAGACACGGCATGCCTTGCATAGACACCAGCCGAGGGAATCAACAAAGCCGGACTGCCATCTGTGTACTCTGTCATCCTTGTTGCAACGTAGGATGGTAATAAACTCTGTACCGTGATGCCATGGTCTTTGTACTCGTACTGTAAAGATCTGGAGAAATAATCCAGATATGTCTGCAAGAAAATTAACGTTTTGTTTAAACTGTTTCGGCAAACGGAGACATATTCTGCAACTCAATCTTCTCATCATCACCATCGTGAGAAGTGAAAACAGACATTAAAAATTCCAACACAACAGACCCTTTTCTTAAGTCTGGAGCCGTCACGGTTTTTTGTAGGAGAGGCCTTTCAGGTAAACAAAGAACAGGAGACTTGTGAAGCCATGTCTTTGCATCATGTACAGTCATCAAAAAGCACTCTTTCAAAGGTTTTAAATTTAACCCATAAGTGTGTTAAATTATGATACCAGTTGATCAAAATAGGTTTCTATGGCAATTAACTGAGAAAATCATAATAACATACATTTATGGGTTAAATTAAAAAAACAAGAAGTTTAAACAGGAACAAATCATAACAACATATCACTGGTGTATATTGAGAATAAAGCATATCACTTATGACAAATATATATAGATGTGGGATGCAGTTCGGTGAATTCTAGGTATATACATACCTTAGTTGCTGCATAGACAGTCATCTGCGGCGTGGGATGCAGTGCAGTGTTGGAAGACATATTAACAATGGCACCTTTACCTCTCTCAACCATTTGAGGTAATACTAAATGAGTCATCTGAAATGAGACAACACATCATCAGAACACACCAGCAAAGGAACTGTAATAGACTGAAATGTACAAGTATGTGCTAGACATGCTGCTTTAATAAGACAGAAAACAGACTTAACCCTTTAAAGGTTGACAATGTAGCAAAGGTATATACATGTATATACTTACCATAGTAGCTGCTGCAATGTTTATATTGATTAACTGCCACAGCCTATCCATCGACACATCAACAAAATACTGTGGGTAGTCGTATACGCCAACATTATTTACTGTGAAAGAAATATAAAAGATATTATTATATATTTACTACCATAACCTATGGAGTTTCATCAGAATATTATTTTCCATTCGTATGCAAATAAATAATTATGCAAATTTGACCATTTGCCCTCATCACACAAAAAACATCTTTTAATCTTTTTATCTGAAATACAATTTTCGTACATGTATATATACAATTGGGACATCTCTCCCAGAATGCTTTGCACATATGATCAGTAGTGTAAAATTAGAATTTTCTTTGCCAATGCAATGCAGATATGTGCAGTAACTTTATCAGTAGTGCGAAATTTGGATCAAATTTATCTAGTGATAATGGATTCACAAAGCCTTAGGAATCAAAATACAAAGTGACCCACTAATTATCTGCAAATACTACACATTACAAAAAACTTAACACTCCCTGTAGAGTGGTCAGTATTAAATCATCGTCAGTCTTACCAAGGATGCCAATTTCTTTATCTTTTATTTGTTGTGAAATAACATCATAGATTTCACTTCCTTTGCTGAAATCAGCTTTTATTACAAATGTTTTAACTCCAAATGTAGACTCTGTAAAATGGAAAAAAAAAAAAAAGAATAAAATAAGAGACTGTCTCATACGACTTATTTACTACTTTCGTGTCACTGAGAATGTTCTAGAACCGTACTGTGTCTGGGTGGAATATTCTAAATTTCTTTTTAGAGACTGGTTGAATAGGTAATATAACACTGTAGAAGGCAATAGAAGGTAATGGAACATTCTAGATATTTGTAGGAAGTGCCAGACTCATTATGTATGCTGATGTAATGGTCTATTTATAGACAGTGTGGGTATATATAGGGGAGTTGTTCAGCACTGAGTTCAGATCAGAGATCTTGTTGAATTGTATTGGAGTTTAAGTATCTAGTTATTGGAGGTTTGGAGTTTTACCGCGTTATTGTACTTGATGTTTGCAGAGTATAATAATACCAGTACCAGTTGAAACCTCATCTGTTGGCTCCGTGTTCGTATTTTATCATCGCCGCCAGGGAAGTCTTTCTGTTACTGTTGCCATTTTGGTATTTGGTAATATTACGTTGCGTGTGACAGAGACGAAGATGACAATCTTCATCACTTACATCAAGATGCATGGTTAGCACGTCCTAGGTTTAAAGTAAATTTGTCACAAACTGAATGGAGATGGTGTATCAGGTTGGCTGATACTCAGATTTGTACATAAAGTTAATGTTCATGGAGTGGATTTCAATTGACTTTTATCAGTAATGCATACTGTACCTATATCCTTGGCTACTTTCTTAAGTTTCTCCATAGATCTACTGATGAGTATAATATTAACTCCATGACTGGCTAACTCCTGGGCATATGCACGTCCAATACCATCAGTAGAACCTGTAACAACTGAACAGGAATACTGTTAGTGATATGAACCATTATGTATATATTATTGATGGATGGGTCAGTGAATTAGTGTTACCCATTAAGAACAAAAACGCTCAGATGATGTCACTTGACTGTATATGGTTATTAAATACTGTTGAATACTTTATTTTGGCTTGAAAATAATTTTCACTTTTTTCGCTGAAGGAATGATTCAGTGAAAATAAAATCTAGCGAGTATACCTTTTTTCCTATATTTTACATTCAACTTGTCAATAATCAGTGAAAATAAATTCCATACAAAACACCCAAAAAGTCTTTTCAGTGAAAATTAATTCCAGCTAAAATAAAGTATTTTACAGTATGTCGATCAAATTGTGTATCCAATGTCTTCAATAAAGCAATGGTTACTGGCTAAATGTTTTTATTTGCACTCGTGCCCTAGATATGTAAACTATGGCCATGTGACCTCATTACAGATTGACACACTATTGCTAGTAACCACAATACCCCCCAACCGGCAATGTGCAAGGGATAATTACAACAAATCACAGCACGTACTGATTGTGAGTTGACAAGCATGCTATTCATAGGCATATTGTGATTATCGGTATCATGAGTGAGATAGAGGATCCAATTGAAGTGATTATCATGAGTGAGATAAGGAGTCTAATTGAAGTGTTGATTCACCTTTAAAAAAAAATTAAAGTTTAATGTTTCGTGCAGATTACTGTATATACTAAAGTCAGCAGAGGCACGTATTATTTTTCATTTAAAATCTCATTCAAATCCAAATGAAATGATTGGATTGGCGTAACATGCAGCACTATGCATTATGTGAATTCATACATTATTTATAGCATACATGCCTTTGCTGACTTATATTGCTTTAATTTAAAATGTTTGTGAAACCACACTCACTTGAGGGCTGGAAATCTAAATATATCAATGTGTACTAATTTATATATTATTAATTTCTCTTTTTTTTAAAAAACACAATTGGTATTTTTGTAAAGAAAAAGAGTTGACAATGAAATGAAAAAAATTCAATCAGAGAAAAAACAATGACCTACGGTATTACCTAAATGTGTTAATTGAATTTAGGTAAGATTAAAATAGTAGATTACATCAGTAGATAGTGGTGTCACAGTTCCTGCTGGTGGTATGAGTGTAGAACCAAAACATTCTCAGGCTGTCATACAGACATAATACAATCTGGAGCCAGTTTATTTGTACATTTTCTGTGTAATTGTGTTGAATAAGATCGGTCAAGGTACTAGTATGCCCTGGAACAGCATTCATTACAACAAAATAGCCATCAGTTTGAATCCAATTTGAAAAAAATATTATAAACATGAAGGTCTCATCATGTTCAATGTATGTACCAAATGTGAATGAAATATTTCCATCAATGTGCAAGATCAAGTTCAAGAACGGCAGAAATGCTTGAATTTGATATATTTTACACATTAAAGTGGTTGCTTTAATTGGATCATAAAACAAATACATGATAGTTTCAGCTTAATGAATATTCATGAGGCATATTTAAATGAAACCAATATTAACCAATATTGAAGATTCATTACGGTCCTGCTGTTATTACCAGTAGATATATCAAATTTATTGAATAGTTTCATTAAATTATTCTGTAATATGAGTTCTTAAAGGGCAGTAGGGTGCATGCGTATGTGTTGATAAACACTGATTTTCCCACAATCCAATGCGCTCATCTAATGGAAATCACAAGTATGAGGTTTGACCTGGGCGCAACTTGTACTAATTACTGCCAGTGAGTCTTTCGATACTTTCCAATCACCTAGAAAAATACCTAATTAGAGCTTGGTAACTTCTCAGTTTGTACTCGTTGATCTGCGCAACAGTCAACGCCATCTTTATTTATATGAGACGCATATATCTTGCGCATACGTGGCGCGACGACTACCGCACTTTAATAAAACTTGTAATTTGTTGTTAATGCAACTGATAAGCATTCTGGGTCATATTTGGCAAGGCATTAAATTGTTCATTGTCAGACATATAGTGTTTCATCAAACTTTGACTAGTCTACATATATCAAAAATATATTCATTTAGGCTGAAAATATTAAATTAATCAGATACATCAAATGATTTTTTACGGGAGAAAACAGAAACTGGTGTCAAGTTTGGTCAAGTTGTGTTCAACTACATGACATATAAATATTCATGGTGCTATCCAATATATCGGATATATACATGTATGATTTTCTCAGGAAAACACCATTGAATGCATGACGGGCGTCAATATATCGTCAATATTAATCGAGTAAATTTCACGCCCTTGGGTTGTCAAAATCGACACCTAGATCTGTCTCCCCATTTGGTGAATTCTTCAGATTTTAAGATGGTATACGTTTTGGGTGAAAGTGTCAAGCTGACATACATACATGTATGTATAATCATGGAGGTAGAAAAGAGATATAATTAAAGGAACCGTATTTAAATACATGTACCTGCCCAGGGCCCGAAACAATTCACAAAATGCTGATTTTTTCGTACTCTGGCTGCCAGATGTACCTTGATGGCATCATGTATTCCAAGTACTGTAGTTACCGTCTTCTTCGCTACATATAATGCACCGAACAGAGCTAAAACTTCGTTGTATGCAGTCAACGTTTTGCCAAGCTCTCGAAATAAGAAATCGAACCTGTCGACGGCAGCCATCTTGAATGACCTGACCTAAATAAATTCTTTATATTATTGTTACCCATCGTGCAACGCGGTGCACTCAACTTTCATGAAGATTGTATTGCAAGTACAAAAAACGGTTCTTTCTTGATAAATCTTCCGAATCTGCCTGGGGCTTTCCGCCAATGTAGTAGACTTCGAGACAGGAAAGTGAAGTATAGGAAGGTTGGCTGAATCAAAGCTACTTGTTGTTTTGAATATTCCGACCATTTCCCGGTCACTGCCGGGGGTCACTGTAGCTTTCAACTCACGGGCGCTTGTAGCCCTGAGTACAGTCCTGTAGG